TCTGCGTGGTCTTTTGCCGACTGAACACAGTAACAAAAAAGGACGTCTATCTGCTGCCCCGCATCAACGACACCTTGGACCGGCTGCGCCACGCCCCATACCTTTCGTCGATGGACCTGAAGAGCGGGTACTGGCAGATTGAAGTCGACGAACGAGATCGTGAGAAGACGGCCTTCGTCACGCCGGACGGACTATATGAATTTAAAGCAATGCCCTTCGGGCTGTGCACAGCGCCGGCCACCTTCCAGCGCGTTATGGACACAGTCCTTTCCGGCTTGAAATAGCAGAGCTGTCTCGTCTACCTTGACGACGTTGTGGTATTTGCGAGCGGATTCGACGAGCACCTGAGGCGACTGCGAGCCGTGCTACGGGCCTTCAAGGCTGCTGGGTTGATTCTCAAACCTTCCAAACGTCGGTTCGCCTATAAACAGCTGAAATTCTCGGGTCACGTCGTGAGTGCTCAGGGCGTAAGCCCTGATCCTGCAAAGACGTCGGCTGTCGCCGAATTCCCGAAACCATAAGACGAAAAGGCCGTCCGAAGATTCCTTGGGCTGTGCGCCTACTACAGACGTTTTGTTCGTGACTTCGCACAGATTTCTGCACCGCTAACGCATCTGGCGAAGGACGACGTGCAGTTCCAGTGGGGAGAGGAGCAAGAACAAGCGTTCAACGAACTCAAGCGAAGGCTCCAGTCGCCCCCTATTCTCCGACATTTCGATCAGTCGGCGGAGAATGAAATCCGCACGGACGCTAGCAATACCGGTCTTGGTGCGGTACTCGTTCAGCGTCAAGAAGGGGCAGAGCGAGTAATCGCTTACGCAAGCCGGGCGCTGTCTACGGCAGGAAAAAATTATTCAACGACCAACAAAGGATGTCTTGCTGTCGTCTGGGCAATAACCAAGTTCCGCCCATACATGTACGGGATCCCGTTCCGCGTTGTCACGGATCACCACGCTCTCTGTTGGCTCGCCAATCTCAAGGACCCATCGGGACGCCTCGCTCGGTGGAGCCTTCGACTGCAAGAATTCGACGTGACCGTTGTGCACAAGTCTGGCCGCAAGCATAATGACGCCGATAGTTTGTCCAGATCCCCAGTCGAATATCCTCTCGACAGCAACGACGACGACGATGACGGCCGTTTCCTCGGAGAAATTACGTATACCGATGTGGGAGCACTTCAACGAGACGACCCCGAACTTCGCGCCGTAATCGACCACCTCGAAGGTCAAGGAAATTCCGTTCCCGATTCTCGGCCCGATGCTTGTCAAGCTTCGTTCTGCGGCGAGTCGTGCTCTACAAGAAGAACTTCGGAACCAGCAACCCTGCTTAGGTGTTGGTTGTTCCTGCCAGCCTGCGAGAAGATATTTTGCAAGCTTGCCACGACGACCCGACGGCTAGACACCTTGGCTACAGCAGGACGCTCGCCCGGATTCGTGACAAGTACGATTGGCCGAGACTCCCGAAAACCGTCCATTTGTATACACGGTCGGGCCATGAGTGCCAACAATGTAAGAAGCCACCGACAAAGCCAGCAGGACTCCTGCAGCCGATATCTGCTCCAACTACGCCCCTCCAGCAGGTCAGAATGGATTCACGTGGGCCGTTCCCAACATCGACGCAAGGAAACCGTTGGATTATCGTCGCGACCGATTATCTTACACGATACACCGAGACGAAAGCCCTTTCGTCGGGAACAGCGGTGGAAGGTTCCAAGTTTTTCGTCAAATCTCTTCTCCTTTGACGTGGCACCCCCGAAGTCTTGATAACCGACCGAGGGTCATCGTTCTTGGCTCAGCTCACGCAAGAGATCCTTCGGCTCAGCTACACCAGCCATCGTCGGACAACCGCGTACCATCCGCAGACCAACGGGCTAACGAAGCGGCTCAACAGGACGATCGCCGACATGATCTCCATTGTACGTCGACGTAGAGCACAAGACGCGGGACGAGATTTACCATACGTCACGTTCGCCTAAAACACCACAGCTCAAAAAACGAGCGGGTTGCACCCTTCGAGCTGGTGCATGGCAGAAACGTGACGAGCATGCTGGACGCTATGCTGCCCCATGAGCCAGTGGATGACGGATGCGATGATGCCCACGCGGTAAGTCAGAGAGTAGAAGAGGCACGCCAACTATCCCACATTTGAATCCACGATCAACAGCTTGTCGATGCTCGCCGGTACAATCTTCGGCGCCGCGCCGTCCACTTCCAGCCCGGAGACAGAGTGTGGGTGTGGACACCAATTCGTCGTCGCGGTCTCAGCGAAAAACTGCTGAAGTGCAATTTTGGGCCTTACAAGATCACCCGACGCCTCAGAGATCTGACTCATGAAGTTCTTCCCGACGGAACACGACCAGCAAGAAGACGTCAGCCGCGACCCGAGGTTGTGCACGTCGTCCGGCTGAACCCGTATTCCGAACGATAGCAATTTCCACCGCCGTCAACGTGTGAACTGTGAACTGTGGCTCGCGATTCTGCTGTCCTTTAGTTGTGGATTTGTTTTTCGGTTTGTGCTGCATCGGGACAATGCGCTTTTAAAGGGGGGGGGGGGGGTAATGCCGCGCGCAGGGTCACGGACTTGTAGAAGGTTCTCGTTTGTTCTTGCTGCGGACATGGCTTCTATCATTTATCCCTGCTTTTGTTGTTCTAGAAAGTGCGTGTTCATTCTCGTCTAGAGCGCGCTACGCTTGAACCTTCTTCGCCGAATCTTCGAGATCGTGACTCACTCTAGATAAGAGACCGCCTGCGACTTTGCCGAGTCAGTTTTCGCCTCAGCTTTCGACTCTGCTGTCTCGCCGACTTCGACGCCCGCGACGCTTTGCTTTCTTTTGTAGTCTTTTTATTTTTTGGGCACACGTTCGCCCCATTAAACATTTCAGTTTTCCCCAGCTATTCCTTGTTTCGCCTTGCCATGCGTGACAATATTCAAGATGTATTGCTTTTTAGTTTTTTTGTTGAGCGTCCATGGTCTGTACCTACTACAATCCCGAAGTTTCGGCGCTGTCGGTTTCCTTTTGTAACTAAGAAAAATGACCCTCGGTATTGAGTTCGCCGAACACATGACGTGGAATCTTCATATTTCTTTCTTGCATACACAAAAACACTTTGTAAGGTAGTAGGAACATTTAACAAGTATAGTCAAGTATTTTCTGTAACTATTAAAAATTCTTATATGATCCCCTTTTTAATTCAATTATATGTTACTGCCTCCTGGTCTGGGGCACATCAAAAAGTAGCTTAGACGGGTTGAGTTTAATACAAACAAACACAATAAGGATAATTAAAAATATCCCACGCAATTATAGTTCCCTTCCCTTACGTATAAAGCATAACATTCTTGACATATATAAAATGTTATCTACGACATTAACTGCCACCTATCAAGGTGCCTTAAGATAACTTATAATAATTTTAGACCTCGCCAAACTCGGAAATATTGCGTCATTACAGCCGTCACGTCATGGCGAAAATTTCTGTTTTATGACTCTTATATTTATATCCTTCAATATGTTTAAATGCAATACATTTTATATAATATGGTAAATAAAATACTTTCATTGTGTTTTTCTTTCGTGTTTTCATGTCAGTGCCACTCTGCCCTGTGTTTAAGGGCAGAGTGGCACTGACATCAAGGTGCAAACTTGCAGGTTTTGTTTTTGACCCCCTCGTCACATGTTTTTAAGCACTGACAAAATTAACTGATTCTGATTCTCATTTGTATCTTTCATCGTCGGAATGAAACGTTCCCTCTGGCGTCCCACAGAGATCAGTGCTGCCACCTACTTGGTTTTTACATACATTAATAATGTTGTAAAAAAAAGCTAATGTAAAAATCCACCTCTTTGCTAACTATTGCGTATAGTTTTTTACAAATTATTTAATGCCAAGGTCAAAATCATCCTCACTAATGCGCTACATTAAATTGGGAATTAGTGTCACAATTGGCAGATGGCAATAAATTTATATTAAATTACTTATGGCTATTACTAACAAATATAAACCCCAATTCTTTTTTTTACCACGTAGAAACTAATCCCCTTAATACTGTGAAAGTGTATAGATGTATAGACCCTACACATAAGTAATAACTTACATGGAACCAGCACAACAAATTATAATCTATAAAGCATCGAAAAACTCCATTACCTTAAAAGAGTCCTCAAATTTGAGTCCAGTGAAAAAATATATAATCCTACAAGACACTACCCTCATCCTCAAATATATCAATGTTGTATGTTTTCCCCATACTGTCTGTATTAATAGGTTCGAAATAATAAAGAATTGCAGCCAGGTGTCTATGAAAGGAGTATATAAAGCCTGGCTGCCCCACTCAACTCTGCGGACAGTTGTAACTTGTATATTCGAAAAAAAAGCAAGGCTCAAGTTTTTATGAATTCGCAAACAACTTCAGTATTCCCCTAGAAAATTACTTAATACTTACTATACTTCGTTTCAGCTGAAGTTCACAGGCAATTGACGCTACGAAATAATGGGATCAATCAAGGAGCGCCAAGAGAGCAAGGCAATAGGCCTTTCCTGTTTATGATTGGTTCAGAGATAATAGAAACGTACATAAACATAACAAAGCGGCGAACACAATGATGATGACATTTTGACACTGTATAATAGGCCCCATCAGCTTGTAGCGTTGGATACGTGTGGACTTGAGGTGAAACGAAGTATAGTAAACGATAACCATGGTATAATTGCGGTAAATGTTTGAGAGAGGTTTCTTTCAACTTATCTTTCATAAAGGATTGAAATAATTTGTTGCTAAACATCGTACATTCCACTGCTCTAAAGTCATTTCATGTCAGCATAAAAGCGCATCTGTCGACATTAGCTAACACAACTTTTATCAAATGTGCGTCATCGACCCTTCGACAGTTTGTAATCTGTTCATTTCGTACCCCCTAAAAGAAACCGAATTAAAATTTGAAATATTGAAAGTAAAAGTAACATATATGCAAAATCGTCTGTGAGCTGGAAATGACTTACCTTATTCAAGCAAAACTCAAGTTCAGAACGCGTGCAGAATGTGTGGATGCCAACCTGTAGAACAGAACACACGCGAGTCAGAATTCAATGGTGCGCTTGAAGTCTTCACACAAAGCATATGAACCCAAATAACTGATCCGCATTTACCATGACAAGTCCCGCCTTGGAGGCCGCATAAAGGAGCTGTGCTCCTTCGTAAATTCTCGGAGCAAGTATGGCAACCCTGGAGCCCACCGGAAGTTTGAGGGACACCAGGCTTGCAGCTAGTTGATCTACCTATAAGAAAATAAAAGCGACACTGTCTCAAAACAGATTTTATCGTCGCTCCGGATGTCAGCATCATTCATTGTTTAATATTATAAGGCGAAAGCCATACTTGTCCCATTGACCAAAAAAGTGTCATATAAACCGATAAAAAAAAAGATTGAGCGAGACGCGCCGCTTAATCGGCGACTCTACTCGTCCCATTTTCGATGTGTCGTCCTTGGAGTCGTTTTAGAGGGAGTCCCAGACCTCCTGAACGACCTCACCTGTTACATTAAGTGAAAAACAACTGGCGGCGTCGTTGTGATTGAAAGATTTTGCTGATATTGGGAACGATTGGCAGCCGGTACTGGGTACGAAACTGGTCACGTATTGCCATGCTGTTTGGGGAATCATGCATAGCCATTTATTTTAACAATGTCATTTGGTAGTGAATTACAATCTGAATTGTTCCTGGGAAAAACGAAAATTTGAACGAATCTATCTGGCACACATACCCAGACCGGGCTATTTAGCTCTGAGTCTTTGATGGGTAATGGGGAAATCGGCGTAGGCAAATATGGCTTGTTCTGTCTCAGTTAAATATATCCTACGATTCATTGAACAAACATTTGAACCTGCTGATACTGTGCCTATTTACGAAGGGCACGAGTCCAGAGCTTGTATGGGGTTTTAAAACAAAGACACTACGTCGATAAATGTTGACGACAATACATGTTTTGGGGTCCCTTCAACAGTTTTCTTTGAAAACTTTGGATAAGTTTTAGGTCTGAATAAGTGTAATTATCTAACATCTTGTTTACAAACAAACAAAATGCAAGCTTTTTTACCAATTTTAATAAAATTGTTATTGGAAACCGTAAAGGGGTCTCATACCACGCCTGCGTTTTTGAGAACTGACCTGACAAAAGTTTTATAAGCTACCAATTTAACTTAATGTTGAATTTATGTTTCATTTTAGGTACCAAAATTTGTTCCACACCATACGTGTAAACGATTGATGTGTGCATTTTATCGTCGAACGTTTACAATGATGACTCGAAAGAATTTATTTGAGGTAACTTTGAATGCTGGCGACTGTACAAGCTGATGTTAAAAGATAAGTTGTATTTTGCTGCGTTATGTGCATGAATACACATTTTTTGCGATTTAAAGACATTTGTCACTCCGCGCACCACTTAGCAAAGTTTATTTATGCTGACATTATAGTCTTGACCCGAGAGCGATCTTATTTTGGTGTACATATTATTTTCAATGACAAGGAAAAGTAAGGTAATTGGAATGTGAAGTACTATATCATTCTCGACATAAGAAAAAAAGTAGGGTCAAAGGAGGAACACCTGCAAAACCCTTAAGGATTCAACAGACTGCGAAAATTTACAGATCTTCACATCAACAAATGTCGTATGAGACAATGTTGATCTTGAAGCCATGATAATACATTATCGTTGGCTGCAATTGAAAAAAAAATGTTTGGCAATGAGTTTCAGGTGTGATGCTTTTGGAAATGGCTTGGCGATCTCCGATGGAAGAGACCACCAGAAAATTTGGAGAGTTTATTAAATGTTATGGATTATTCATCATACATTTTTATTGCCAATAACACCTTCTTGGCGGACCGCGACACCTTCTTGACTGACCATCACGCGTTCTTCATGGTCAAACATACCTTCATGATGGCCTAATCTACCTTCTTGATGGTCCATTAGACTTTCTTGATGGTGTGATGGGCTTACTTGGTACTGTCTGATGGACCATGAAACATTTTATGTAGGCTGCTGGACCATTAACGGCCTTTGCTTGTAGCTCGAAAAACTGTCAAAATGCACCATCAAAAGGTTTTGATGTTGCCCGTCTGATACCATCAGGATATCTCAATAGATAAATCGTCAAAAGGCTAATGGTGCTTCTCATGACACATTTCGGTGCTGGGAAGAACCTGACTGTCTTTGGCCGATTCCAACAATGTCCGAGAGGAGGCGCCAAGGATCTCACGTCGTCGCGCATACGTGAACAACATTCGGTGTGGAAAGCTGCCAGCGGCGCAGCTTGATAACCGTAGTGTTCGATCCGTTATAATACGCCATAACATTAGTGCTATGGTACTCAAAACGTCCCGACGAGACATTTTTATAAACTCGGTATGCTTTTGCTATAATATCTTTGCATTATATTGTGTTATAGTCGGTTTGTAAAACAATTTGTTGATCCGCTTTGCATGGCAAGTAGATCATGTCTACAATCTAAGTGGCAAAGAACGTGACCAGTAATGCACTTAGCTTTATAAAAGTTAATTTACTAGGCGGACCTGTACAGTTAACTAAATGTCTTCAGAGATAAAATGTTTACACCGACACGAATGCGCTAGTGCAAGGCTTACCACATCCTCGTCCTGGCAAGGCTTAGTGTATTGCGCGGTGTCGCATGACGCCTTCATACCCAGCATGAACATGGGGTGAGATTGTAGATAGCCACGCAACGGAAACCGCTAAAGTTGCAAGTTTTGGAGTCTCGAAAGTAGCGAGTGAATTGTGCGCATTTACTCTTCGGTTGTGTTTTTGTAGTCTAATTATTCAGCGTGTAATGATTTCTATCTAGAAATAATGTCATATGCCATAACCAAAATACAAACCTTGCTTTCAGCTTTCCATTGAGATTTCGGAAGGTATCCAAAGCTTCGCATATTACTTGTTAAAATATTAATGGGCCCAAATGAAACTTCCTATTTGTCTGTGATGCAATCATTGTCTTCTGCGTTTACATAGGTGTGATTATAAATTTTTAGCGACCATTAGATCAGCAAACCGTGAAACCTTTAGGCCATCAGATGTCCCAAAACACGACAGACCACGAGATCATCAATCCATAAACCATCACTTTATTACACCATCTAACCACCAGACCAGAAATGCCCCTAAATAATGGTTAAATAGCGCAACAGGACAGCGGACAGGAAACCACGGCGCTACTTACAACTAAACTTTATTTTCCTTGTCGCTCAATATATATACCGGTGGCAACAAAACTAATTTAAGAAAAATATACGAATAAACATTGTTAAAAGGCTAAAATTGTGACATCACAAATCGCACCATCTCAGACTAGTCATTCCTTGTTGAGGAACAGCAATTCTTTATCCGACAGACATACAGAGAGTGGGCTGACACACTGCAGCCTGTCTACCAATATCTTGGGCCTCAAGTATCTCTTGTGTGATTTGATTTCTGTTTTCGTTTAGTAAAGTCCAGTCAGCAAAAGAGTGGAGTGCAGCCACAATCTCGGCAGTGCACACCGAGATGCCCTGACAAGACGCTATCTACGATTGTAGCGGTGCTCCCTCAACCGTTCATTCAGACAGCGGTGTGTTTGACCCACATAGCGAAGCCCGCACGATGATGGGACGGAATAATCAACCCCGTCTACACACTCAGCGAAGCAGGTTTTGTGCTTCTTCAGGCAGCTGCGTCCGCCAACCAGGGATAACTAGTCTGAGATAGTGCGATGAGTAATGGCCACAATTTCAGCTTTTTATCAATGTGAATTTGTATAATTTTATTAACTTGGTGTTGTTGGCGCCGATATATATATTGAGTGACAACGAAAATAAAATTCAGTTGTATGTAGCGCTGCGTCTCTGTCTTCCTTTCTGACCGTTGTCCTGTTACGTTTTTTAACTATTATGAGTCCCCAATTCGCCCAACACTCAACCCTCGTTCCAAAATACGAGAGATCATAAGATTGAGTCGTCCTGTACCTCCAGTTCTCCCGCCTCCGAAGCGTCTCGACCGGAAGTGTCGTGTTCGCCCGTGTCCCGCGATGAACCGCGCTTCTCCGAGCGTGCCGCCTATTGCTGTGAGCGGACGACACTTCAGTTTCGAGCTCAAAGTTCTTTTACTGCCCTTTCAGCTATCTCAATTCTTTTTTTAACGGTGTCAGGACGACGAGAACGCGCAGAGGACTTCTGTAAGATATGTGAGGGTCCAGGCCGAGCGTATCTACAGGGTGCGGCCGTAAAAACTTTCACATTTGGCACGCCTAGCAAATATCGAATTTCAAACATACATACCTGAAATTGGGCACACGAACGTCGTTTATTCCAAAGTTTTTTGCCTATTTTTTTCAGACGTCAACTCGGCAGTAGCGAATTATCAGAAAGATAACAAAAATGGCAGACGTGCATTTCCTATAGCCTATATCCGCCCGTTCGCCGTCTGCCATCTGGTTCGCGACGCCGCTCCCAGGTGGCGCACTGAACGCAAAAACGCGGGAAGCGCCGCACGAAAGGCTGGTGTCGCGCGAGATAATCGCGATAAAAAGTGATTTGAACGAAATATATGAAAGATTGTTGAAATTACCTGTTTCAAGTCAAGTTTTGACAGATCGTCATGCAAGCAAGAAGACACCATGATGCGACGAGATCATTTATTTCCAGCTGCTCGTCTTGTTGACAATTGCGGGTCGCTCTCGAAGACAGCAAGCACCGCTTCAATGAGCTCCTCATTTTTCAGCAGGCTCTCACGTTCACTGACTGGATTCTTCTTTTTAAAGTCTTCTCCACTCACAAAACGATCCGCCCAAGTCAAAACAGGCGGGCGTGAAGGCGGGCGTTTATGAAATGCAGTGCGAAATTTTCGCTCTGTGTGGCCACCGAGTTCCGCTCCACGTACCACTTGACTGCCTGGGCACACTCACTTGCCTAGTATTGCGGCATCGCAGGGCGGCGCGGAAAATATTTTGATAATAACTGCAGAAGATAGTGCAACAAATACAATAAATAGGAACAATCAAGATGCCTCAGCAGCGGCAGTCTTGATTCCAAAGTTGAGCTTTCACCGGGAACGGACCCGTCAACAGATAAGCAGACGACAAAGGAAGACACACGTTCGTCTGCTTTAGAACATATTTTTATTAAACGAGGGCGTCCGCCAGTTTCTAGGTTTCAAGTAGAAGGGGATAATCGTTCACATATTTCGGTAAAATCACTTTTATCGCGATTATCTTGCCAGACACCAGCTTTTCGTGCGCAGTTTCCCGCGTTTTTGCGTTCAGAGCGCCACCTGGGAGCGGCGTCGCGAATTAGATAGGAGACGGCGAACGGGCGGGTATAGGCCATAGGAAATGCACGTCTGCCATTTTTGTTATCTTTCTAATAATTCGCTATTCCAGAGTTAACGACTGAAAAAAATAGGCAAAAAACTTTGGAATAAACGACGTTCGTGTGCCCAATTTCAGGTATGTACATTTGAAATTCGTTTCTTGCTAGGCGTGCCAAATGTGAAACTTTTTACGGCCGCACCCTGTAGGTAAAAGGCTGCCCCGACAGAGTCCCGACCGAAACCGCGGGCCACAGACGCCAAATCTCTATGTTCTGACCGTTTAGCGATCTCTTTTTCGAAGACTGCGAGTCCGTCGGGCACAGAAAAGAGAGCTTCATCCCATTTCATGAGTCCCGATCCTCCTCAGTGCTACATCGGCCAAGCACCGCCATATTTCCGAGTGAAAATAAAAAGCCAGGAGGCGACAACACTTCCGGACTCCGATTTTTGATAATTCTAAAAGAAGGGCTGTAGTGCGTTCGCAATTTCGTTAAGAACACGTTTACGAATATTGTTTTTAAATAATATATAAAAAAGGTTGGTTATAAAGCTTCTAAATTTCGTAATCGACAACGTAAAAAATAAAACGAAGCGAGGGAGTGAGAAGAGAGAGAGAGAGAAAAACCCAAAAATTTGAAAAGGAGCGCGCGCGCGTGTGGGGGAATCTTTTTTTGCGTTGTGGTATTCCTTTTTTTTTTTTTTTTCGTGGATACGACTACAACTTGCATTGTTTCAGGCAACAACATATACAACTTTTGGGGCTGTCAGTGTTCCTTTAACCACATTACCTGATGCTTAAAGGGCAATTCCGCTTCATTTTTGTTTTTGAAAAAAACAATGCAGTCCTCTTCAGTATCGCCTAGGAAGACCACACGTCAAATATTACGACGAAGTTCTGTTTAAATGTTTCTTAAACGGTCCGGCAAACTTTGCAACTCGCCAAGTTGCCGAAATTGGCTGACTCGAGCGGGCGAATTCAGGCGCAACCAACAGCGCAGTCAAGGCTATGGCATGGGCGGAGCCAACATTGAGCTAAACGTCACCATCATGGCCCCCTTTTGCTTGTTTTTACTTCTCCGATCAAGCGTAGCGCATGACGTCAGCAACGTTGCCTCTCGGCGCTCAGCGGTGTCCACGTGATTGGCGTACGCGCCTGCGCAGCGCGCTTCTTGGGAGCAGACCAACCGCCCGCCGTGGTCCCGCCGTTACCGCCATCTTCCGCGTCACAACCACCGTCGTCGTCTCACCGTTTGTGATTATTGCCTCTCGGAGTTTCGTCCGCACTATGGACACCACGTGCGCAGAGTCGCAGACTTATGCCGCAGTTGTGCAGACGTCGTCGAATGCCGTAGACACCAAAACGTGGCGAAGAGTGCGGTGCAGACGACACTCGCGCCTGCCGCACGCCCACCACCATCCCGCCCGTCGTTGGGCCGAGGATCACGTGACATCTCGTACCACGTGATGGCCATGTACTTGGCGGCCCGAGGCCAATGTTGCCGGACGGAGCCGAAGTTTCGGTTTCGATTTCCGCTCGTGTTTAAAATTAGATTTAAAAATATATATCCCATTTTTTGCGAAGCAAACGACGTAGTGTCTTTTACTAGGGCTCTTTAATGCGAAATCACTCATTATCCCGAAATCTTCGGAATTGAGCGGAGTTACCCTTCAAATGAGAATGAAACTACGTTGTTTGTTTCAATTTCTGATCCAGTCATTATAGTTGTTTGCTTGAAACCCCAGAGCCAGATTTTTAATAATCTCGAACCCAAGAGTCAGGTCTCAGACGGATCCAAGAGAACACAAGTGTGTCCTCTGGGATCCACTAGCCTTGGCCACAGTGTCATCTCGTGATAATTCTATCCTATATTTCAGAAAAAATAAACTCCCAGGTATATTATTTTTCTGCGCTCTCAAGCAAGGCAATTTTTAGTTATATTGAGTCCCCCGATATTATAAAAAATAACTGCCACTCTCTTTGGTATATGCCTAAGGCGCTCTAAATAGACAGCTGTATGAGTTCTCTCTGACGTCATGGTGCGACCTGACTTTATTCTGATACCACTATGTCACAGTGTCACGTCACCTCAAGGTGCAACGTGACGTCACAGGGCGAACGTACATGGTCACGCGGCTCTACCGCACATGGCCTTGTGAAGAAACGTCAGGTCAGGGGCAGTAAGTTCCACATGGCGTCGCGATGTAAGCTTACATAATGCAGATACGTAGCGTAATATTACGATGTCTAGATATGGTGTAACCTAATGTCAGGGTGTCACGTAACCTTAGGTAAGGTGCCGTCGCGATGCCATGTCATAGTGTTCCGTGATATCTCAGCTCCACTTGACGTAACAGTGAGTGTGCCGTCATGGGGTCACGTGACGTCACAGCGTGCCACCAGCAAAGGCTCTGTGCGAATTTGACACAGCGTGCCATCAATGAAGGCTAACAATGGTGGATCTTACACGGCTTATATTCCACGAGGGTTGTCATTGTTAACAATAATATTAGGGATCCTGGTCTCCCCCGTCACGCCTTCCGTGCTATGTATTGAAGCACTAAGGAAGGCGTCTCGAGATAAAGAGATATTCTGAGTATGCACTGACCTCTTTTTTGTATTCTGTGTATGTCCTGCTGATGTTCTGATGTGGGTACACGACGCCTGTGGTGTCCCCGAAAAAATCTGCCGCTCTGTCGATGACATTTCCCGCTGTCCACGTCAGAAGTGGCTCTTTTCCGGGATTGTGGAAGTAGCTGAGTTTGGAGAAGTCCCTGTTGCGACACGAAAAGAAAGCGTCTTTCATCACAGAAGTGCACGCAAAGATAAGAATATCTAATCAGTGTTCGTATCAGATAGGATCAACTGATGTTTTTTTTTTTTTAGTACCGCAGGTGCACAATATGCTTTCACTGATTTGTTTGCGCTGCAGAAGTACGGCATTTTTCTGTCCGTAAGAACTTTAGAGAAATACAAATTTTTCCATGTAGGCCCGTGAAGTACATACAAATTTATTTTAAATTGCTGTTCACAAACTGTTCATGACATACTGTCGCAGAAACATAAAAACACATATATTTTCTTCCGAGGAAATAATACGTGTTTAACAGTGGGAAAACAAACATGTATTGTTTCATAGGTATATAGGTCCCGTGGCGTCTTTTTTCCCCATATATTACGAGGAAACCGAATTCATATATAGATGTGACGTCAAGTCAAGTGACAATAATGTTCATTCTAAACGTAGCTAAAAATGCTCGGAATGAGGGACGGAAAAATATCTGGGATTATGAGGTTTCGATAAAAAACGGTAATGCTTTAATTGCCGCCTGAAGCCACTCCTATCCAAAACGACATTAAAAACCACGGAATTATAATAATAGTCACTAATAGGGATTATCGAGCGATTTAAGCCAAGTTTGTTAATATATGCTAATAGCCAGAAATAGCCGTTCGAAGTGCTTGTCACCTGTTAGCATAGAAACAAAATTATGTTGCCGCTAATAAGCGCTAATGTCTAGCCACTTGTAGCCATCGTCAGCGCGTCAGGTCAAAAATAGATGACAGTGTCGTATAATATCCTGATCAAACCAGTCCAACTTGCATTGCCCGATATTGCGCATATTGTGCATATCGATCAGTTAGTCATTTGTAGCCATTCCAAGTCAACCAGCGCAAAACTAAATGCTTATAGTATACATTAACCAGTTGAAGTCGATAAAATTTATAACCTCCAATGCGCGGAATTTACCAATAAGAGTCACGGATAGCCCGGCATATCCACATAAAGCGAGCCTGGCCAGGTACAGATGCATATAGGCAATAATAGCCGCTCGAAGTCAATCCTACCCTTAAACATAAATGCTACAAAATAGGAAAGTCGTTTAGAGCCAGGTGTTTTAATCTGGTGACGGCTTGAAGCTGAGCTAGTTGGTTCCTACTTGTTAAAATGCCAGCTGAACGTTTGAAGGTTTGATAATGGCAGATACCAGCGGTGTGTCTGCCTTTTTAGAACGCGGCTCTTAGGCGCCCGTTTCCGGCTTGAGCGGCGTCGCTGTCGCCGTCGGCGTCGGCGTAACCGCGCGGTGCATTATGGGAAATGTCTCGTGATGCAACGCGCGGGGAGAAGGAAGGGAGGAGGAGGAGTGAGAGGAGGGCAGGAAGGGAGGAGGGGGAGGAGGGGGAAGGAGGGGGAGTGGAGGAGGAGTGGGAACAGGAGGGGGAGGAGGGAGGAAGAGGGGAAGAAGAAAGGAGGAGGGAGAGAGGAGAAGGACGACGTGGGAGGAAGAGAAGGGAAGAGGGGAGAAGGAATATCAGGGAGGATGAGGAGGTGAGTAGGGGGAAGGAGGGGTATACCCTCCCCTCAGTACCCTACCCTCCTCCTCCTCAAGAGCTGCGCTCTAATTTGGCGTTACAGCAAGTTGTAAAAGGCTTTCATTTTGTTCATCTCTGTGTGTGTGTGTCCTTCAAACGTTTAGGTGGCTTTTTAAAAATATGTTAAGCTGATTTGGACAAGAATAGGTGTCAAGCGCCCATATTACCCACCGGAAAGAGTTGAGCACGTTGGTTACACATACTTAATAGACACCAGCTGAACAACCCAAGCACACAAATGTAAGAAGGACGAGAGTGACGCATTCAACCGCTGGACTACCAACTGAAATTTAATGAAACACTTCATCTTCATCGACAGGCTAGGATCAATCATACCTAGCTTGCTTCACTTCTTCCTCTTTTTCCTCATTATTAAACTAAGGCATCCTCCTCGTCTGTCTACTTGTGGGCGGTACTTCCCTTCGCAAGAACGTTCTCTCTTCTCTGGTTAAGGTCACAGAGGGTGAACTAACACACATGTCCCCTTTCTCTTGTCATGGGAAACCATCGAAACCGGTTTGCACGGGAGGTTTTAGAAGCTTTAAACATACAAGAGAAAGGGGACATGTGTGTTAGTTCACCCTCTGTGACCTTAACCAGAGAAGAGAGAACGTTCTTGCGAAGGGAAGTACCGCCCACAAGTAGACAGACGAGGAGGATGCCTTAGTTTAATAATGAGGAAAAAGAGGAAGAAGTGAAGCAAGCTAGGTATGATTGATCCTAGCCTGTCGATGAAGATGAAGTGTTTCATTAAATTTCAGTTGGTAGTCCAGCGGTTGATATGCGTCACTCTCGTCCTTCTTACATTTGTGTGCTTGGGTTGTTCAGCTGGTGTCTATTAAGTACCCATATTACCCCTTTGAAATCAATCACATATATAAAGCACAAAGAGCACAAACGTTTCATAATGGTCACAGTGGCTACTGAAAGTCAGCCTGGTTCATAGATAGCCATCGGACTCTAGATAGCTACTAATATAAGTAACAGTGGTTTGGAACCATTTCAGTCCCCAGAGTCTCAGAATTAACACTAATATTCATTATCATCATTCGAACCTCCTGTTGCCTTTAAAAAAATGGTTGCTAATACGCACTCATATTCAGTTGGAGCGTGTTTCGTCCATGACGATTTTAATAACACCAAAAGTGACCAATGGTCCAAAGTAAACATTAGATGTCAGTTTGTTTATTGGTACACAAATAATACAAAACAATTAAATAAATAATGGTCCATACTACGCACTTGAAATCGACCGAGTTCGGAAACGGCGAAATAAAATAAGATGCAGTAACTAACAGTAAATCATATTTATTGAATATAAAGCTGTTCAATAAATTGTCACTTAATTCGAATATGTCATAATTAAGACACAAAATAAATGCAATTATATTTTACTGATTAAGACTGACTTCAAGATGACCAGAAATATAGTTAAATAAATTGATCGAATAATTAACCGCCTGAAATAATGAGTAAATGCAATAGGGTAAATTTAACAGTTAAATGGATCGCAACTAAGCCCTCTGCCACATGTCAATTAATGCAAAACGCTTTCAACAAGGGTTTTATGAAAATCGATCGCTACATGTGAATATCAAGTGCAAGAGTTCAATAGTGGAGCACACTGATGATGTCAATCTAATTTTGCAAACTAAGTTGACCATTCTTCGCAAAAAATGGCACCGCCTTTCGTACGTCCCAACCACCCCATTCATCTTGGGTTCCTTTTCCTGTATTAGTCTACGGTAATCGATAAGAGCATAAAAGTGTCAATTGTACTCACAAATTCATTTGATATCTAAATTTAGAGAATAACTCGGTGGCAAGTGTAGCAACAAGTGAGTAGCAATAAATTAAGATAAATGGTTATTATTTATTAGACTAGGCAGACCAGTTAGAATGGGATCTGAAAAGTTTGATATGTAAGCTGTTATTTTTGTGAGTGCATCAACTAACTGGGGTAACTTAAATAACCCACGCCCTAAGCCTTCACACACTTAAGCGATAAAACAAGGAAATCAAAATTGAGTGCAGCCCTAAACATCATGCGGTAGCCGATAACATCCGAAATCCCCTACGGCGCAGTAGAAAAGCGTGTTAGAATTGTAGTAGACAGCATAATGCAGTTCGTCATCGAAGGCAAGAACACATGGACGCGTTCAATGGCAGCATTCTGGGAACATCATTCGCTGTTGAATGGTAAACATTATCGAGTTACGAGCGACAGTTGGCAACACCAATTAATATATTGATAATCCAACGCCTATTCGTAGTCCCCTGTTTGCCCAAGTGCACTACATTGTTTTGTTCATGGGAACAGCTCTGTACCTTTTGTTTTTGCCCAATGTTATGTCTCGGTTAACACAACGATATTAGCATTGCGACGGTATTAATCAAGGAACACGTTTCGTCAAACCAGTTAATTATGCTCCGCATATTAGCGGGGAAAAAAACATTGGGTTATATATCTGACTGCTAACTGTGCCAAGGGTAAACAGGTGCAGTCTAAAATGTCGGGACTAACTGCCCCACGGTGCGAATTTAAAATGCTTGTGAGTATAGTCATCAGACCGACGTTCTGATTGGCACGTTTTTATGGACGTCGCCTGTGTTACAAGACAAGCAAAAGGCTCCAGGCTTGGGTAAAGGCGCTCCAGTGTTTTACGGTCCAGTGTTTTGCCGACTCCCAGATCAGCTAAAGCGAAAATAGTAAAAGAATCAGGGAGCCGACTAATGGTTATAGTCCGTTTCAACTCAAGAAGGTAGGGCGAGGGGGAGGAAGGCCGTGGAGGAGGAACCAGACGGAACGATGGAGATAGGAAGACGCTTCCTTCTCTCCTCTGCAGCGTTCCGTCAGCTTCCTTTTCCCCGGCGTTCCTTCTCCTCGCCCTACCTTCTTGAGTTGCAACGAACCATAGCGCGTAAATCACTAAGGCATGTTTAGTTCTACCTTAGCCGCCCCCTTCACTCCCTCCCCCAATGAGCAAGGCAAAGTTACGGTTAAAAAAAACACTCCAATATTATTTTTTTCGAAATTAATCCAGCAACTTTGATAACTCTCATTATCCAAGTGAATGGTATTTTTCTAAGGTAACGGTGGCCTTTTGTTTAATCATTTGACATATTATTAGTCAAAGCTACGGACTCCACAGGACTGGTAATTACAAACACATTTTGCAAAAACAAGAAAAATGGAAACAGTAATCCAAGCACACGCCGAAAAGTCGGTACACAAAATACAATTAAAATAAACAGATAGACGGCATCCCATGCTCAAACGAGTATAGATATTGGCATATACATAGAGTTATGTCGTGTCTAAATAGGATGAAAATAACTCAAAAGCTGTGGGAAACCTGGGGTTTAAAGCGTTAGACCAGGTGGCCTGTGTGCCAAATCGTGCACAGTCCTTTCCGCCGCGAGGGGGTCAAA